AATTAGTATTAGAAAATTACTTTTTAGTCCCTAAACTTTAGGGTATTTACAAGATTAGTCCTTAAGCTTCAACTATAAATACCCTAACCCATTTAGCTTCAAAATCATCCCAAATCATTTCTTTCTCCCAATACTAAAGAGTTTAGAGAGTTTTCTTGTGAGTTGTGTGTGTTTTGTAAACACCTGTAAATTTTCTCTCTTTAGTAAAAGATCTGCAGCAGTCTGGAGACGTAGGCATAATTGGCTGAACTCCGTTATCAATTTCGGGTATTATTTTTCCGCTTTTATTTCGCATTCTCAATAATCTGGTTATAGGAAAATTACTTTTTTTTATTTCCCAACAGGCAGCGGTGGTTAGCGATCTGGGGCTACCTCAGACTCTGGTCGCATATCGGGTGAAGGTGGTGAAACACAAGTTCGGATGGAGGGTAGCACTACAAGAGGTTCTTATACGTCGAGTGCTCCTCCTTCCACTGTGGTGAACCGGTGCCGCAGCTAAACATGTATCCAGGTTTGTTTCTAGCTGAATGAGGATGACAAGAGCAGTTATTGGAAAAATAAAAGCCAGCAGCTGCCGTTTTCTCTTTGGTATAACCTCATTAGAAAAGCTTGAAAGTTCTTTTTAATGGAGGGTCTTAATTTATAGGAATGATCATGTTCTTATGAATAAAGAATACTAATAGAATATTGTTGTTACCTACGACTTAATAGTTTAAACCATAAAACAATTATAAATAAAAATATACAAGTTCATAAAATCGTTCATATATTTAAAACAAAATTGTAATCATACACAATTTTATACAAGTTTCAAACTCAATATAAAAACAAAACATTACCTACATGCCCACTAATTACATATGTACCATACTTTGCAAGTGATGCCAAAGGAAATCTCATTACTACCGTCGATAATTGCACATGATCAAGTCTTTTTAACTTGAAATGGTAAGTAATGGAGTGAGCTTTGGGAAAGTTCAGTAATACAAGACTATCAAATGATGCAAAATGGCAAATAGATATATACTGAAACATCAAACATTCTTAGTAATCCATGCATGTACGGGTTTTAGTGATGGGTTGGGGTTCACCAATTATTTTTTTAGGAAACTACCGTTTAAAGGAAACATTTAGAGAGACAAGTTCAAGAAATTGAATTAACGTGTCTATTGTGTTCTAACAAAATCATAAATAAGTGTAGATATAATTTAAAATAGTAGTAGGTTATTTCAAGAAAACAAATTTTAAAAATCATAATAATTCCCTCCAACCTAAAACCGATATGCAATTCCTTAGAACTGCATCCATAAGGACTTACCCTAGGACCATTGTGTGTAAGAACCAACTTGAGGGGATACCTCAGGTCCATAAGGAATTACTAGCTTTATTGGAGCTAAACCTACACAAACTCTATAATAGATCCTAGACAGTACCCCAATATAAATAAGATTAACATTAAACAATAATATAAGAAATTGTGAGCGAGTAAAATATTGTAAAAGTGACAGTGATGTTTATTTAAATCACATAACTACCCTCCAAGTGTACACTAAAATGCAGTTCTGGAGTCCCCTAAAACTGCATCCTTAAGGACTTACCCTATACACATTAGGTATATGATCTAATCTAAGGGAATACCTTGGGGCCTATGAGCCTATCCAAGGATAATCTTAAGTCCATAATAAATTAATAGCTTAATCAAAGTTGAACCTCAGAACTCCATAATATATCCCAGTAAAACAATTTCATGTAGTAACTAATAGTATCAAGATTCTATAAATTAGGCATATTTATATTTTTAATAAAACAGTAACCATAGAACATGTATCAGACAAACATGATTTAAAATTCGATAAACCAGAAATTAGACTTTAAACTAGATAAAGCATTTGGAAGTCAAATCAAGTAAGCCAGTCACATTTTAAATCAAATAAAATAATCATGTGCACAAGTATTTAAAACAAAAATGTAACACAAAAGAAACACACCAGAGGATTCAGCTATTTTCAGAGGCACTTGGTAGTGATCAGGAAAGGAAATATGGAACTTCTGTAATTTGATTGGATTTTAGAAAAAAAAACTTTATTTAAAGGGTTTGACTACTAACAAATCTAATCAAACATTTGAAAATTGATGCTTCAAGACCATTTAGGATTCGGGTGCATCAGAAATGTATTCAGGAATCTTTACATACAAAATTATTTAAGTTTTAGATATAACAGGAGTAATTTCATTACTCAGACTATTCGAGGGTATTAACTATTTAGATACAGGTGTTTTAATGGAATGTTTGGAATAGACAGAACTCGTTGGTCCATGATGGACGGGTGCAACCCCCATGGGTTCTTGTTACTAATTCCAGAGTGCTTCATCGTGACTGTCCAACGGACCTTCTATTCCCACTATTGATCAAGGGTGTCCACGTAAGGGAGCGTTATAAAGCTGAACGTTGATGGTGCGTATAACCCAGTGACCAAGCTCGCAGTTGGCGTCATTGCAGGAAATGCAAAAGGGGCAGTACTTGGAGGTTTAGCCACCACGTCTGGTTACGTTTTTGAACCCGGTTTGGCAGAATTGCATAGCATGGTTGCAGCCTTAAATGTTGCCCTTGAATAAGGTTGGTCGGATAGCATCATCGAACTTGATTCGACAATGGTGGTTAATATGTTTAATAGTGAGGATGGTAACGAATCCACGATATGTGTACACATGCGGCCAATACGTGACACTTGCAAGAATTTTAATAGTTGTCTTGTGACCTGTTTACGTAGAGAAGCGAATTATCCCGAGTTCATTGACTAGGTTGTAAAGAAACTTGATTAATGAATAGTTGGGTACTCTTTTCCCTTTATAGGACCCAACCTTGCATTGATAGAAGGGGTTTTTAACGATGTCTTAATATTTTTTTAAAATTAAAAATTAAACAAAAATAGGGGTGTTACATAGCCACTTTAATTTGATTATTGTAGGGGTGTGACAGGCTCTTATCCGATGCAGACAAAAATAGACTACACTATATGTTTCTTGCCTTCAAATATTTGATATATTTTGGATAAATGCCTCCAATTATTCGGATCCCATATTACCTCGAGTATAACTCTAACCTAATGTTCCAATTTCTCTTCCTTTGCATTGCTGAGTCATGTTTGTGGAATAAACAAGTGAGATGACTTGTGTAGAAGAGAGGAAGATAGTACAGCTTTGGATGATCTACAATCGGACCTCACTTAACCCAAAGGGCCGAAGATATATTCGGTGGATGTTGAGGTATCTAATTTAATAGTTAATGGTATATTTTTTTTTATTAAAATAGATTTTAGAAGATTAATTTTATAAAAATAAATTATATTTTTTAATATTTGGATGATGTGCAAATCATTTTATGTTAATTGGTAACTTCCTTAGATAAAAAAATAATTTTATAAATCTACCCCTAATATAAAATTGTGTCTACCCTAATAATAATCATGCTAAAAGTACACCAGTGGGGTTGGGCAATTTGTCTCCACTGATTTTGAAGAACTCTCAAAATGAAAAATCCTACATCATATTCAAATAACTGTTGAGTGTGGGAAACAGTTAATGCTTAGCACTTGCTCTGGCCACGGTCGTCGAGCTTTGAAGTTCATCACGTCGCTCAATCATTTAAAACTAGTTTAATGACATGAATTCAAAGTTAACAATCAATTTGTGAAAGGGACACATTAAAATGGATCTCAATTGTAATGTAAAACAAGATTAAGGTTTAATATTTTTGTCAAGGCTCGTCTCAGTTTGCTGGGTCATGCTGCGAGTATATAGAAATGATAATTTAGGATGCTTTAATGAGTAAGGATAAAGACAGACCACAGTAAGGATAGGTGATAAGGATAAAGACAGACCACAGTAAGGATAGGTGATAAGGATAAAGACAGACCACAGTAATAACAATGAATATAAAAATAAATTAAGATTTTCAGTATTAAATCAGTAGTGGATCAGAAAAATTTAGACCATAAGTTATAGACATAGAATGTTTAAAAGGGTTAAGCCATATGGCAATTGATAAATCCTTGTGGTCTGATCATCAGTTCCATGTCAATTCCATTCATTTTTCCCTTGCAATTCGTATCACTTTGTGGGAACTTGTAATCTTTCATGAATTCTTAGTCGTCAATTTCAGTCTTAAAGATTTCCTTTGGATGATTCAAAGACTGATCTTTCGTGACATGTCTTTACAGAAAGAGATATGCTTGTCTGCTACGGTATTAAAAAGGTGAGACAAGCGTTCATGGCACCTTCTTTTGCTGCATATTATTATAATCCAAAGTTGAGGAGCAGGTACAAATTTAATAATGTCAGATTTTTAAAGCTCAAAGCGTATCATTTCATTCACTGTGTTTGTCTCCGCTATAAGCTATCAAGTGTCAATTGACCAAACTTTAAGTTGCAACATTCAAGCCGAGCAAAACCACCATAAATACTTACGTTCGGACGCTGTAGCTAAATGGCATTTCATTTTGTTGATGGAAAAAGTTTGTCTGTCATTAATAGTTCTTTTATTATTTGGATAAAGAGTCACAATCGGTGAGGTAATGATTGTTCGCCTATGTTTTTATGTGGGAGAGATGAAAACACAGTGGAAAATATGAATGAAGAAAAAGAATAAATTGCTAAGATCCTTATCTCAGTCGTGGCTTAGATATTTTTAGTATATTTAGTCGGCATAAATTAATTATGACTACTCATAGATTTGCAGGCTAAATAGATTGATTGTCAGATCTTGTATTTCGTTCTGTAGATTAAGTGAACCAGTCAGAGGTCTTGCCTATGCATTGAAGCTCTGCGAGAGATTATGATACTCATGTGATTAGAGGAATAGATTTATTGAAAGGTCCGATAAGTAAAGGAATCTATCCAAAAAAACTAGTAGTTTACTGAGGTAACTTTCGGACGTATAACACCTTCCAGTAGAAAGGAAAGAGTTGATTTACAGAGAATTCCATAAAACTTAACTATCAAACAAGTAGTATTCGCCATAGACTTGGAGTCGTTATATGATATAGTTACAGACATTTCAAGCAGGCCGAACCCCTTTACACAAAATCCAGGCTGGTATAAACCTTGCTTTCCAAACCAACACTTTTATACATAAACCAGATATTTTAGGTTGAATCTAAGGCTGCTCAGTAAGTTTAGCCGGTCGGTGTCTTGCAGCAAAACGATTCACTAATGCAAGCGCATTGCTAGTAACTTGAGCAACATGGACGACCCTGCGTCTTAGTGCAACCTTGATGTTTCCATCCATGACTCTGCCTGCAAAGCCATCAAGGCAAGAATTCTCATCTGTTAGTGCAGCGCTGACCCATGTCTGCACGTTGCTCATGTGAAACATGAAGTCCTGACCTACACCACGTCCCATACGGCCGAGTTCCTTCACAGACTGGCTAAGTCGGTCCACACTATCACCCATGTTTTCTATACAGTCTTTAATTGCTTGACGCTCCTTAGGCTTGATACCCCTAACATGAATCATCTTGGCAATATAAGCCGCAGCTGACTGAGCCCTGGATAGGCTCACTGATAAAGCAGTTTGAGCAAGGTGTCGGTCGTTTTTCCGAATCGCCTTGGCATAACCGGACAGGCATTGGACGCATAACGCAGGGTAGCTTGTGGTTTTGCACGATGCAACGATGTAGTCTGTTGGACTTGAAGCAGATGAAGCTATGACAGCCATGTAAAGTAGAAAGGAGAAAACTAGCACAAAAATACCTAGTCTTGCCATGTCTTTAAAGGAGAAAAACTGAATGGTGATGAAATGAATGGAGTACCGGAGTTCAACCATTTATAGAGAATTAAAATGGTTGGATTAAATAATGTGTTTTTGCATTCCTTCTTTCTTTTGGCTTCTTCCTCCTTTTGAACTGATTTGATCTTCTCCTTTTGCGGTGATTGTTTATTGTTTTTCCTTCTGGTAGGTGACAAGGCATTGTTGGCCAAATCTTCTTTTCTTTTGCTTTTAAAAGCACACTGCAATTAAGATGAATATGTTTGGGACAAAAGTAGGGGTGTAATAAAACTGACTGAAACTGACTCGAGTTAAAATTGTTTTTGACATGTGTTATGGCGATCGAAAACCGACTTGAGTCGGAACTGGTATTGATCTGAACCTGAGTAAGACCTGGAAATTGTGGATCTGAACCCGACTTGCATCTGACCTGAGAACAACCTGAACCCGAATTGAACCGAAAATATGATACCTGGACCCGAACTGCATCCGATTGATATGAACCCGAACCCGAGATTGACCTGGTAAATAACTGGTATTACCCGACCTGTTTTCAACCTGACCTGTGATGAACCTGACTTGTTTTTAACCTGACCTGTAAATGATCCAACTTGTTAATGACCTGATCTGATATTTACCAGACTTAATATTTACCTGACTTATATATTATCATGGACGAAATTATAAGATTTTAATAAAATTATGAGTTTTTTAATTTAAGATGTAATTAAAAAATTAATATGATTACTTTTTACATGTTATAATAAATATTTATTATGATAATACCTGTTAATGATCGACTTGTTAATGACATGATCTGATATTTATCAGACTTGATATTTACCTTACTTATATATTATCATGGACGAAATTATAAGATTTTAATAAAATTATGAGTTTTTTAATTTAAGATGTAATTAAAAAATTAATATGATTACTTTTTAAATGTTATAATAAATATTTATTATGATAATTAAATTAATAAACATACCTATTATATAAAATTATTTAATAAAATTAATAAAATTATTTAAATGTAAATTATATAAAACATGATTAATTAGGTGTTAAATAATTAGTATGTCACATTACATATTATATGGTTCATAAATAATAGTACATGTAATATTAATTCCATTTGCATAATTAGTATTTTAGTTGCATGTTAGGTTAATTCACATTAATAGCCCATTTATTTTGTTGTATTGAATAAGTAATAATAAAACCCAAAAATAAGTCTTTTTGCATTAGTGCTAGTCCATTTATATTAGTTTATATAGGCCCAATACATAGCCCACTCTTTTATTACAAATATATATGCATTAGTGCCATTAATTTATATTAGGGTTTTTGATTTAGGGTTTAATATTCAGAGTTTAGGATTTAAGGTTTCTATAAACTATATATTTTATTACTTTATATAGTTTATGCATAGTTTTCTATAAAATATATAAGTAATTTACTTTATATAGTTATATATATATACAGGTTATATATATATATAGTTTATATACTATACATGGTTTATACATGCATATTATATAAAATTATTTAATAAAATTATGTAAATATAAACTATATAAAACATGATTAATTAGGTGTTAAATAATTAGTATGTCACATTGCATATTATATGGTTCATAAATAGTAGTACATGTCATATTAATTTCATTTGCATAATTAGTATTTTAGTTGTATGCTAGGTTAATTTACAATAATAGCTCATTTATTTTGTTGTTATGAATAAGTAATAATAAAACCAAAAAATAAGTCCATTTGCATTAGTGCTAGTCCATTTACATTAGTTTACATAGGCCCAATACATAAATCCACTTTTTTATTACAAATATATATGCATTAGTGCTAGTCCATTTATATTAAGGTTTATGGTTTAGGATTTAGAGTTTATGATTTATGGTTTAGAATTTAGGGTTTAGTGTTTAGTGTTTATAGTTTAAAGTTTAGGGTTTATGATTTAGGGTTTAGGGTTTCTATAAACTATATACTTTATTACTTTATATAGTTTATGCATTGTGTTTCTATAAACAATATAAGTAATTTACTTTATATAGTTTATATATATATATATAGGTATATATATATAATTTATATATACCATACATGGTTTATACATACATATTATATAAAATTGTTTAATAAAATTAATAAAATTATTTAAATATAAATTATATAAAAAATGATTAATTAGGTGTTAAATAATTAGTATGTCACATTGCATATTATATGGTTCATAAATGGTAGTACATGTCATATTAATTTCATTTGCATAATTAGTATTTTAGTTACATGTTAGGTTAATTCACATTAATAGCCCATTTATTTTGTTGTTATGAATAAGTAATAATGAAACCCAAAAATAAGTCCATTTGCATTAGTGCTAATCCATTTACATTAGTCCCTCATCAATGCATGTTTTGTAATTTATTTGAACTTTTACTTGTAATTTCATCTTTGTTCAATTTAGTCATTAATTTTATATTTTTCATAAAATAGATCCATGATTATTTATATTCTTAGTAATTTACTCTAAATTATATACAATTTAAAATTGCAATTCAACCTTCGTGAAAGACGAAAATAATTAATCCAAAAATAAAAATTGACCTAATTTGAACTCAATTCGTATCTGATAAAGATTCAACCTGAATTTTATCTGACAATGATGTCACCTGATCTGAACGATATCCGCCTGAAGTCCATCCGTACCTGAATTAACCTAGTCTTTATCTGTTCCGGACCTGAACTGACATCGATCCGAACTGAAAGTAACCCGACCTGAACCCGAACTATACCTGGTGTCAAATCAACATGAAAATGATCCGACCTGATTTGACCTGGACCCGACCTGATCCGAGTCGAAGCATCAAATTTACCTGACTTGACTTGTATTCGATTTTATCCGACCTGACAGATTCCAATTGAAACCTGAACGATTACCCGATTTTACATCCCTAGACAGAAGCAAAATAGCACGAGATTCGGCAAACAAGCATCAATAGGTCAAATGTAGTGGTCAAAGTTTTCAGCATCAAACAAAGAAGGAACAGTAATCACCCAAAGATTTTAGACTTGCCAAAACAATTGAAATTCAGCCCTTACTTTTTTTTTTAGTTTATATCCAATTCAAGTAGCATATACCTCTGATCTTTGTCAGCCAATGAATGAGCTTTGATTTCAGATGGCATGTGAAGTGATGACGGGCAACACTGAAGAAAAACACAGATACTCCAGCAATAAGATTTTATCCTATCCTTTGCATTTTAAAAACTTCACCTTTCATCATCAAAGCTCAGAAGAATCTTTCTAATCAATTCATTTTCATCGAGCCATCGAGCCATTCAATGAAGTTACAGAGTGCCCAACCTTTCTGTTTGGGGCTAGACTTGTCTTCTTTTCATTCAACAGAAGGCTAGAGCCCTGGCAGTGCTGCAAATAATTTACAAAGGCCTCAAGGTTGGTGTTGTAAAATGGGAAATGGGCTTGAATCAATAGCAAGTTCCAATAGCTTAAGGATTATAAAGAAGATATTAGCGTATACCTAGGATTATAATTGTTACTTGTAAACTGACAAGTTGAATAGATAACACCATATACCGATGCATAATTTTATGTTAGAGATAAATTTCTAAAATTTTAAGAGGATATAAATTTATAAAATTTCATGAAAGAAAATATATTATCAATAGAAAATATAAAGAAAAATTTAAAATTTCTAACCCCTCGATCTATCCTTAAATGACTGTCTCATTGTTGATATGACTCTAACAAACCATATGGTATTATTAAAGATCTTATAAAAAAATAATTAACCGAAGAATATACAAAGTCTAGAGTTTATAGTCGACGGAGGCGATTCTACGTAGATCTCTTTTCACTTCGAAAACTAACTGTAGTCACCATTTTTATCCCCTTTTTATAATTATTATATTAATATTATTATAAATACTCCTATTAAAATAATAACCAAGTGCTCATTAAAAGCCCTGTTACAAATCAATACTCAAATGATATTTACCCATTACATTAAACCTTTACAAAAATCAAACCCAACAATCAAAACCCATTTATAAATAAATTCATTATCCAAGCATGAACTCATTTCATACCAACTCAAATTAAACTCACCAAAAACAAATTACTTATCCAAGATCTAAACCCCATTTAGAGTAGTCAAACAGTAGTAAAGGCCTGTGTGTACAAACCCAAATCAGAAGTGTCTGGTTCACAGAAAAGATCATTATCAAAGGAATGATCTTTTTCGGAATTGTATTATTATATTTGGTTCATGAAAAAAATCATTACCAGGTAATAACTTATTACTAATAATAACATTTTCGAGTTAAAACGGCGAGAATGTAATTACCTTCAAATTCTTAGTTAATGAACAATTCTCATCACTTTGGACACAAATACCCTTGAAATAATAATTATTTTTACATAGATCTTTCTCAATTTTTATTATTCGTGTTTACTCAAAATTATAAACTAAATAATAATAATAATATACAAAGAGTTTAATTTAATAAAATATTAATAATTTTGAGTAGTTAAAATTATTATATATTTGTAATATATAGTATATTAATTATTTTATAAAATTATGAGTTGAAAATATTATTATTGTAAAAATGTAATTATTTAAAATAATATTTCATTTTGAGTTATTAAAAATAGATCTTATATATTAAAAATAATATATTTGTCCACTCGAGATTATTATATTTTATATAAATAAATATTTATATTCTAATAATCTTATTCCCAAATTTAATATTACATTCTGTGAACAACAAACGTAACCTTAGGGTTTTCATCTTAACCGCGCCACACTCTCCTAAGTTTCCGATTGAGAGAACTCTCAAATTCAGATCAAGCCTAGCTCTAATGAATCAATTCAATCGTCGTCAACAACCATTGGTCCCCTTTTCACATCAGATCTTCAAACCGTGGTTCACTCATTCTCTCATCCTTCACGGTACGTAGCCTCCAGCAAGATAGGAGCTCATGGAGTCCTCCACGACAGCAGTCTCGTCGGAGCCACCATGCAAACACAAGAAAGAGTCATGCGATG